TCAAAATGCCAGATCCTGAGAGACCATTTGAGGTCATCGCCGATGCCTCACAAACTGCTGTGGGGGCGGTCCTCATGCAGGACAATCACCCTATTTGTTATGCGAGTCGAAAGTTCCTCCCAGCGGAGTTGAACTACAGCGTGACAGACCAGGAAGCTTTAGCTTCGGTCCATGCTGTCCAGTTGTGGAGATGTTACCTTGAAGGAACATGCTTCAAACTGGTAACGGACCACTGTCCGTTGACCTACCTTAAGTCACAACCACAACTGAGCCGCAGACAGGCCAGGTGGTCAGAAATCTTACAAAAGTTTGACTTTGACTGGGAATACCGCCCAGGGCGAAAGAATGTGGCTGATCCACTCTCTCGCATTCCTCCATCGCCCGATGAGCAGGAGGCTAAGAGGAAAAGTCAACTAGTTGTATGTGGCTTAAGAGTAAAGCATAAGCGTGGCAGCCAAAAAGAGGCAACTGAAACGGTAGAGGCCAAAGATCTAGCCTCCAGGATCCGTCAGGCCTATGGCGAGGATCCCCAGCTTGCGTCTGTTAGACAACAGCAAGATATGCGCTGTACAGACGGGTTGTGGCTGCGAGGCACTCAGGTGTATATCCCTGAGTCTCCTAGTCTACGGACTGAGATCTGCCAGTTGGCTCATGACCATCCAAGTGCTGGGCACTTTGGTCAAGCTAAGACCCTGGACTTGGTCCAGCGGCATTACTGGTGGCCAGGAATGCGACGAGAAGTACACCAGTACGTCGATACTTGCCTGGTTTGTCAACAGGCTAAGTACCCTCGTCATAAGACCCCAGGCTTATTACAACCACTGGGCATTCCTGAGGAGCCATGGACAGAGTTGTCCATGGACTTCATTACACAACTGCCAAAAACTAAGGGAGGTCATGATGCTATCGTCGTGTTCGTCGATAGACTGACCAAAATGGTCCGCTTTGCAGCCACGACCACCGAGCTCTCCGCAGAAGGAGCAGCTGACCTGTTGGTGCAGAATGTGATAAGGCACCACGGCCTCCCCTCTCAGATAGTGTCCGACAGAGACGTTCGGTTCACTTCCAGGTTTTACCGGTACCTGGCCGAGAGGTGGAAGATCCAGCTCAACATGAGCACTGCGTACCATCCACAGACGGATGGCCAGATCGAAGTCATGAATCGCTCGAGGATTACTTCTACGCAGCTATACGCCGTTTCTAATTATGACGCCAAGGGATGAACTGCAGCAATTGCGGCCGAAGCTTCTGTAATGAACAACTTCAAAAAATGCTTCCACTCCAAGAAACCTCGCTTCTATCTGGCTCACGGGAGGCACCCAAGAAGTCCCTTAGCTCTGGTGTGTACCTCGAAGCTATTGGGCGTGGCTATGACAATCCGAATGCCCGCGGCTTGGCAGTAGCCATTGAAAGGGCGCAGCAGCCTTATTTGAGGCAGTCTGGTACACCCCTCGTGGAGGGATTACCAGCAGCGACACGATTTGATCACCGTGTCCAATCAGCGCTGAAAGAGGCCAGGGCGTGCTTAGAGAAAGCACGAGATAGGCAGTCAAAGCATGCTCACCGCCATCGAAGAGAGGTGTCGTTTAGTAAAGGAGATGACGTCCTCCTTTCGACACAGCATATTACTCTCAAACACCCTGGAACTCGAAAACTATTACCGAGGTGGATTGGGCCCTTCACCATCCTCGACCGGATAGGTTCTGTCGCATATCGACTAGAACTCCCGGAAAGCATGCATAGGATACATCCAATATTTCATGTATCGAAAATCAAGCCTTATAAGGCAAGTGGCAGAGTGCAGCCACCCCCAGTACCTATCGAGATCGAAGGTGAACTGGAGTATGAAGTTGAACGTATCCTTGACAAAAGGATTAAAAAGCGTGGGAGACGCAAAAACTATGTTGAGTACCTTGTCAAATGGCTGGGATATGGACATGAGCATAACAGCTGGGAATCAGCAAAGTCAGTTGCAAATGCACACGAATTGGTTCAAGCATTTGAAAATGGCAGAACACCTGTGATGCGAATGCAAACTGCATGAAGTACGGGATGTACATACTGAAACATGCTCATGTGTGCTTATGCTTTTGACAGGTTCTCTTGCGCTGGGCCCAGAAAAACACTGGGTATACTGCCCCCCGTGCAAGGTCGCAGTTGGGACACATGAACGCCATGTCCGTTGCGATCCTCAACGGGGAGAGGTTGGAGACCGCCGACCCCTACGTGCCATTTCCCCGTGCGCTTGAGCGTGCACGCGGACGTGGGCGACGGCGGGGTGCCGCACCGGGCCGATCTGCACCGGCGTGGGCTGCTGGTGGTACTCGGCATCGTGGTCGCCGATGAAAGGCCGGGAGGTTAAACATTTCCAGCCACTTGGCTGAGGAAGAGTTTTAATGAGGGTTGTGAAGGCCGGGACGGTCATGTAAAACAACCACTCTTTCTCTTCATCCAAAACTGTTTTGTGTGTTGTGTTTTGTTAACTGGGCATGTGGCAAATCGCACAGCCAGTTCCATCAACATACATACGATATTTCTGCTCCCGTATCCACTTATACTGGGACGAGGACGCCCCTCTCCCTGAGGGGGACGAATGTTACGCGCACCAGCCTGATGTGGGAGACGTCCTACTAATGGCTCTTGGTGTGGGGGACGCCCTGCCCAAGGCACGTACTATTCCTCACCCAAGGTAACCTTTATCCATATTAGGATACGGGAGTAGGAGGGGTGGTCCCGCCTAGGTGCCCTGTAAGGACCTAGGTGCCCGGCGAGGCGGGTCCGCGGCTCAAAGAGGGCAGGAACCCCACACCCACATGCTATTCGTAACAGATCTGCTTTTTCACATATTGTAGTAGAGGCCATATCGGTGGGGTGTATATGATGCCTCGCAATGGGAGCATCATTTATGTCTTGTGGTTCGCAACTACTGTATACCGAAAAAATTTTGTGGAGAAAAAAATTCGCGTATTTCGTGGGAAAAAAAGTTCGCGAAGAAATATTTTCGCGCACTCGTTGGTGCGCGAAAATTTTTCTCCCGCGAACTTTTTTCCCCGCGAAAATTTCTGCCGTGCCAATATTTCTGCTGTGCGGCCTTTGTGGGTGGGGTGCCAGCGTGTGCCCGCCTTGTCTGTAGCTTGCTCCGAGGCCCAACAAACTGAGGGTCCTTTGGTGTCTTGGGCGATCAACAGGGCCTGCCCGAGTGGCCACCCGCGAGGCCCTGGAGGGGCGCCCTGATTGGCGCCTCAGGGCCACCCATTCGTGCCGCCCGCGGTGGCCTAGGATGGGCCCCGCCGGTGGCCCCAATGGGCGTCAGCGAGGAGCGAGATGCGCCCAAGATAGGCGCCTCGCAGGCGCACAATCACGCCACCCGGGCTGCCTTAAAATCGCCACGGCCGGTGGCGCAAATGGCCGCCCGATGGGCAAACAACAGGTGCAACAATAGGTGCGCCCTCATTTGCGCCTGGAAGCTGCCCATTCGCGCCCTCCGCGGTGGCCTGGAACGGCCTCCGCAGGCGACGCGAATGGGCGCCCGCGAAGCGCAAGAGGCGCAGCAGGATTGGCGCCTCGCAGGTGCCCATTCCTGTCACCTGCGGTCACCTGAAATGGCACCCGCCGATGGTAGGAATGGGTGCCCACGAGAGGCGACATGCGCCGCAGCATTCGGGCCTCCCAGCCGCCCATTCCCCCCACCCACTGTAGCCTAGAACGGCCTCCACGGGTGGTGGGAATCGACGCCCGCTAGTGGCCCACGCGCCCAGTGCCCGACCCACACCTGAGGGGTGCCGAGAAGTTCGCGGGCGAAAGAAGTTCGTGGGACCAAAAAGTTCGCGGAGAAATATTTTCGCAAACTGGCTCGACCGCGAAATGCGCGAAAATTTTTCTCTCGTGAACTTTTTCTGGTATACAGTATTTTGCATTTCAACAACACAAGTCGTTCCCTAAGATTATGAATCCCTTGTGGGAGGTGGAAGGAGTCTCAAGCACTCTTCAAAAGTCACAATTGCAGTGCGAAGGTGCCTTTTCTTACGCTTAACTTTTGGTGCGCCGCAACCACAAAATGTACGTCACGCTGGAGATGGCTTGAATGGCACATGCATGGGTGCATCACACCCAGTCGAGCGTGCCACGCGGTCGTCGGGCGCGCACAAGGGGCGTGTCCGGCCCGGGGGGGTCCCGTGATCCACGTGAAGTCCCACGTACTTGCCCGGGGGGGGGGCGCGTTGGGTAAACCCCGCCCCCAATCCTCGCTCCCGCTTGGTCCCTTTGGGCCACATCCCAGAACCTGGCTCGTGCTGGCCACGCGCCCCCACGCCCAGCACGCGGCAAGTATGACGCCGCCTGGCACCCCAGCGGGGGCCATAGGACCGAAGGCTGGTGGCGAGAGGGGCGGTACCGAGGGCCTTGTCCGCTTCCGAGAGGCCCTACCGCTGTTGTGGCGCGACACGGAGCTTGCAATTGGGGCGGTTCACCGTTTGGCGTGGCGCCGTTTAAGATTGCCGGAGCGACGGGTGCCGACGAGGGGCACAGGTGGGTTGAGGCACCGGCAGTGGCGGTGTGTGGATCCCGGCGGGCGCTCGGGTGTGACGGATGGGGTCCTGGGCGTTTGTGCGGCGGTCTTGGTGTGTGCCAATTGAATCTCGCCATCTCCGGGTCCCGAAAGACGGGTGGATTTGAGGGACCGGTCAGGTGGCCTTCATCGTTGCGACCTGCGGCGATCGCCTGGTTGGGAATTTGCGCGGGATGGGGCTAGTGGGCGAGCCGTGAGCGCGGCATCTTGAAGAATGGTGCGGTGGAACGGGGCGACGAGCCCCGCGGGCGTTTGGCGGGCCCTGGGGGCACGCGTTGTGCGGGGTGCCAGTTTTCTCTGCCGGGCAGTTTTCGTGGTGGGGGCCTGGCCGGTAGTCCAGGCTGTTCTGCCGTGCCTATTGCAGCCCTTTGATGTCGCTTACTCGTTTTCTGCAGGACGGTGGCGGTGCAAGGATGCGACCTGTTGCTGAACCATGACGCCGCAAGCTGAGGTGATGTGCGCTGTCCGCGTTTTGTTTTTGGGGTGGCCCAACAATCAATTTGAGGGCAGGATCGAGTGATGCTTGTGGCCCCATGGTTGCGGAGGACTGTCGGTATCCTGTTGAGTGACACCAGTTTCCTCGCCGAAATATCCCCGACAGACGGTCTAGGAATGATGTTAACGATTTTCAAGAATAGGGATGTCTGTTAATAGCGTTGTTTCTGCATGCTGTCTACGCAAGAGTGAATGACAAAGCCAATGAAGCTAACGAAGGTACTGCGCCTTTGTCACAAACGACGAAGGAACTATGCCAAAGGCATTGGGAAGCCTTGACAGCACAGCCGGTATTCAGATGCTTGATCATGACCAAGATGAATCCCCCCATAAAAAAAGAAAGAACTTTACCATTAGGACGTGTGGCTCAGTGGTGCGGGTTGCCAAAACAGTGTCGATGTTAACATAAGCTAAATATCCTGCTTGAAAAGTATGTGGGCCCTGCTTGTCATTCCATGTTCGAACTCTGCAGAAAGTTACCAGCCATGTGCACACAGCAGGTGAGCACCTTTGGGGGCATGCAGCAGCTGCTGCTGACTTTGCTTGTGGTGGTACAGATGCTAGAAGAAACATGGGGAGGGGTCTCTGGAAAATCTGCTGGCTTGACGCCTGCCAACTTCTCATGGCGTCGGTTGCTGCACTTTGCTGGCCCCAGTCTGCTCATGTCCGCTGCATTTGTGGTGAGTTGTCTCACTTTGTAGGTCATACCCTGTGACTATATTTGTCAAGAATGGCATGGCAAGGCAAAGCATTGTATCTGCAAGGAAATACTGGGGCTTTACATTGCGCGTGCGATCTGTTGTATAGTTGTGTGTGGCCTTGGCCACAGCTAGAGTCCTTGTAACAGTTGGATCCTAGGATATCACAGCCGATCTGTTGTGGACTTGGTCGATTGCTCAGTCCTCTATCAATCTTCCCGTTGATGTTTCAATTTGCGATTCCACAGAAGATGCTGCAGTACCTTGCTCCAAAGTACTCTGGTGTTGTGCCGACACAGCAGTGTTTCCTTCTGAACCATGTTGTCTGAACATTTGTTTCTGTCATGACAGGACCCAGGCAACTTGGAAGGGGACCTCCAAGTTGGAATCCAGACTAGATATAGCCTGCTGTGGCTCATGCTCAGCTCAACCATCTTGGTGAGGATACAAACGTCCATCAAGTGGGCCTGTCATTAGGACACAGTCAGAGTTTTGTGCTCCAGCTTCAGTTGTGGCATGTCCACTAACAGTTGGCTGCCGCCTATTGCTGAGGGCAGAGGAACCTAACAGACCACACGGCTGTGTCTGAGCAGGCATTCATCATCCAGATGCTTGCCGCAAAGCTGGGTGTGGTGACGGGAAAACATTTGGCAGAGGTTTGCAGGCAGGCACCCACACATTAAGTGACATGTGCTCTCTTTCAATATCCTGAACGTCATCTGTTGTGTCAACCTTGCTGGTTTCTCGTATCCCAGAGGCTGGGACAGCATACTGGGTTGAGGTCTGCATCTTCGTTTCTCACCTCTGCTACATGATTTGGTCAATTGCCTGTCAATGCATGTGATCTTGTGACCATTCAAATACGTGGAGAGAAAACTAGGGACAGAGTTGACGTGATGGATTAATGGAGCAACTTGTCCTAACTTATAAAGGCAAGTATCGTTTGTCTTGCAGGTCTGAGTACCCATCAGTGCCACGTTATTTTTTGTGGTTGATGATGGAAATGGCCATCATTGGCAGTGACATACAGGTGGGCTTTGGGCATTTTCGTAAGTGGCTTTTGAGTTCACCCTTCACATGTTCTTAGTGCTGTGCAGGGCAGGCTCGACAATGAAAATATACACATTCTACCAGGTTCTTCAAATCTGTGCTCATGAATTACCTGGGGACGTCTAGGTTTTCCTTTCAAAGTTGGCTTGTGGGGAGCATTTTCCTGTTGCTAGATTAATGCAATATATTTGTGCTGCTGCTGGACAGGAAGTGGTTGGCTCTTCTATTGCAATATATTTGCTGTCTTGTGGCTGTGTGCCCTTGTGGGGTGGTGCCATCTTGACGGCAATGACCTCATTTCTTCTACTGTACCTTGATGCTATGGGGCCACGGGTACTGGAGGGCTTGTTCGGCTTGCTGATCTCCACCATGGCTATTGCCTTTGTGGTGAGTTGATATGATGCTGACAACTGGAAGTAGTGAAAATGTGCTGTCTGTTGCTCCCTGCTGGGTACTGAGCCTTGCTGTATGCAAATATGTTGAGCCAGCCTGATACTATATGTTTCAGCCACATCATGTGGCTGCGGCTGCCTCTTATTTCACTACACAGTTGCATTTGCAAGGACCAGGGAATGTACTTGATAGCCTTATGTGGCAGCCCACTCAATTCAACAGGTGGGAGCCTCCTGTATGATTGCTGGCCATTGGATGCAGGCACTGCACAAGTTGCGCAGCCCAGTCTCTGACAATACAGCTGTTGATCGTCAAAAACAAGACAAATTGCATCTTGAGCCTGCAACCACTGGGTTGCCAACCAGTACAAGTATTTGAATAGTTTCATTTGTGGCACTTCATCTGGGCAAGTGGAATGCAGCCACAGGCCTGTGTTGCCAATGGCTACCGAACTTTGCATCAGTTCACTGTTTTACAATGAATAAAGCACTTTGAGGTGGCCACGACGTGGGCTCAATTTGGCCATGTGCTCAGCATTCTTGCAATGCAATTTGCAGGTGCTGTATGCGTATGCTGACATCAATGGGGTGGAGGTCCTCAAAGGCTTGGTAGTGCCCAGCTTGCCATCTGGCTCCATGAATGTGGTGCGTTGGTGCCAGGACCTTGTGCCTGCCTTTTATGTCATCCACAAACCAGGCCACGCAATTGCCAGGTCATTCATTTTGTTGAAAGACACCTTGGTTTCACAACATTTTTCTGCACAGGTGTGCAAAAGAATTGGTGGATTCTGCAATTGGAAAAGCATCTGTTGGGTAGTTGCATTCAGGACGGGGTGGTAATATCATTGCAGCAAAGAAACCCAGCCAAATTTTATTTTGTATTTGGAAGCAAGAAAGAGAAAAAAAAGAAGTTGTCCGTGCAGTCAAAGCTTTACCGGCCAGTCTTATGGCCCCCTTGAGCCCATGCTATCTTGCTGTTTGGGCTGCTCCCAGAAGTATGATTGGCAGTTTCTTATGCAGACATGCATCTGCATCACTTGGAGAAGTCACACAGGTGTCTTATAAAGGGGGGAGTTGTTCATTGCATGATATGTTGATTGCTAGAATGTCCATCCTAGGGGTTTAGGCAATCACTGCAAGTTTTGCAACCATCATGTGTTGAGTGTTGTCGATGTAGACCAGTAAATGTTGAATACCATCAACTCCCAGAATTCCACTGGGTGTATTGCTGTGTGTTTGCACTATACAGAGGACCAGAACAGAAGCTGTGTAGGCAGGTTTAGGTATGCTTTGATTGCATTGGTTTCAGCTCACAATACTCTGCATTTGCATTTTCATAGCGATGACAGGGACTTAATGAAACCAGCCGATTGTGTCCCACGGACCACATTTTGTTAAAGTTGCCCTTGTGGCATGCTAGTACATGTTGCTGCTCTCTTCACTGTGATTCACTGCATCCTCTTGTTGTCTGTCAGGCTGTTGGACTTGTGGGGTCTATCATAATGCCCCACAACATCTACCTCCATTCCGCAGTGGTCCTGAACAGGGATATCGACAGGACTTCAGTGCCAGCAATTCGAGAAGCCATGTTCTACTTCTCAGTGGAAGTTTGCCTGACACTGGTGGTAAGACCAGCCAATGAAACTTAATATAGGACATCTCAGTGAAATGCACACAGAGGCCATTCTTCAGAGATTGTACATGATGATATTACTTGTGATTGTGTCCAATAGGCAGCTATGTTGCCCTTGCGCTGGAAGCTCAAGGCGATTGCAATGTCTTTGATTCCAGCGTGTCGATTCAAGTTGAAATTCCTGCCCTCAATGTGCCAGAAGAGTGTTTGGGTTCTCTCACTGCCTTGTTGCATTGCAAGGACATGTGAGGGCCATACCAAGTGTTTTAACTTCCGCAAGTGATCAAGTGTGGCTCGCTCTGTTGCTCTGTCGCTCTTGTGTGCAGATCTGTGGTGTGCTGCTTCAGGAATCCCTCTGACGCTGACATAATTGGTGTTTCCTTCAGGTAACAGTGTTGATAAACACTTGTGTCATATCTGTCTTTGCCTCAGCTTCGTTTCCTGCTGACATTGGCTTGGCAAATGCTGGAGAATATTTGGGACATCATTTTGGAGAGGAGGTGAGGTGTCCTCAATCGATTCCAAGTCTCTCCATCCAGCTCAACTTGTTATCCATGGGATGTGCTTCATGGTTCGTTGGGGCATTATTGATTGGGAGTAGCTGGTCCATTACTTGGCTGGGGGTGCTGGTGCGCTGCAAACTCAAAGTGACAGAAGACATCACCAATCGGGTTGAAATAGTGTGTAAGTAGTTTATGGGCAGCTTACAGGCATGCTTACCATTGGAACATGTTGCAACGTGTTTGGCAGCATCTTCAAGACATGGTCTCAAATCTCACATTGTTTTGGCTTCTGGGTGCAATTGCAGATGGTGTTTGTATGGGCCCTTGGCCTGATTGGCTCTGGCCAGTCTTCTGTCATGGCGGGTGGTTATGCAGGCCAGTATGTCATGGATGGCTTCCTTAACTTGAAGGTTTCGAAATGGCTGGTAGGCTCACACATAAGCAGTCTTGTGTGGTGGAACTTGACTTGTCATTTCCCAGCAATGACAGCAGACTCAAATGCAACCATCTGTTTTCCTTCTTGATAATATCAAGTGCAGCAAGCGAATGGGAGGTATCTCGAAGATGCCAAAGAATTCATGAGACCAAGGGGTTTGAAGTTTGGTGCAAAGACAATCAGCGGATCCTGAAAGAGATGTTTGTTTGGGCGTTTGTGCTGTGTCCAGGGTTTGTGATATGATTTGGTGAGGTACAGCTTAACTTGTTGGTAAAGGGCCTTGTGGTGCAGTGCAAATCCCTTCAGTAAGTTGTCAATAATACACAACACAACTCTTGCGGCTGCAAGGCAATGTCGGGATACTTCTGCACACTGAATGTCCTGAATCAATGCTAAACTCCAAATAAGTTCCATTGGAAACTGCTGGGAGTCGTTTGTTGGGCTGTGATTTGGTGCTTGGTGGCATCCTGTTTGTTACATTCAGCCTCGTGCTCTGGACACGTGCACTGTGTGCACCATGGACTGTGTGCTATGGCTTTGATTCGGATCCAACCGGAAGCAGTTTCAGTATATGTCTGCAATGGGGACTCTTGGTGTGATGTTTGATGTGAATCACGCCATGACATGTGGCCTATCACATCGTACTTGTGTGTTTTGTTGTTCCTGCACACTATGGTGTACCGTGTCATGTCAATGACAGGCACCACCCAACACACTTTTCTTGCATGGTGGTGCGATGTACAATATATAGTTAACATTTTGCTCAGCATATGTTTGTCTTGTGGACAGAGGCTTGGAGTCAGTCGGTCTCTGGCGATTGTGCCCACACTGTGTGTTGCGCTGATGTATCACAACAGTTGGGATCTGGACACTCTAAATGAATGGTTGAACGTCCTCCAAGCTGTGCAGATTCCTTTCGCATTGATTCCGGTGAGCTCAACTGTGTGCTGCCACTTGAGTCCTAGCCGCTGGTGGTGACGCACAACACTGAGCCATTGGGAAGCCAGCAGTGCCGCCACTCGCGTGTTGTTTACAGACCATGCGCTGCAACCTGCAAGTCGAACATCCTGCGCAGGGTGCATTTACCCATGGTTTATTCAGCACCCCAGGTGATTGTCTCTGGGAATTTGGACCTGGATGTCTGACATCCGCTGTTTGTTTTGGTTGCATTCAGGTCCTGGTGCTCACCAGCAAAAAGCGCATCATGGGTCAATTTGCAAACACGCAATCAACCAATGTCATCGTATGGGCCATTGGTCTCACAGTCCTGTCAATAAACTTCGCCAGTGTGTTCCAATTGATAAAGGAGGTGAGGCAGAGTTATGTTGTATGCTGCATCAACTGCTGGTACTATACTCCAGCATCGTTCATTGGGCAGAATAGCCTTACCTTCATCTTCTGTCACGCAGGCAGCAGTAGCAAGTGATCGTGGTGAACCTGCCGTTGTGCGATTGCAATGAGTCCAGCCCAGGTTGTTGTGTATATATGACCATCAAAGTTCGCCGGCGGCGTTAAGATGTGCTGTGCTTTGTCATCTTCATGCATTGCAAGAAGGTTGTTGCTGCAAAATAGTGCACTCACTGTTGCCTCTGTTCAATTGCAGGGTTACTCACAGGGTTCCTGTGGAGTGAGTGCAGCATCAACATTCATTATCGTGCTTTATATTGTGTTTATGTTCTATATGATAGTGGAGCCCTGCTTGCCAAAGAAGCAAGAAGGTCCCAGCTGGGAGGAGCCTCTACTGCCCACAATCAGTACACCTGTCACATATGAGACGGATTCTCCTCCGTGGGAAGACTATCTGACAAGTGATGAGCTGCAAAATGGGGAGTGAGGCGACAAACACCAACGCTGGCTCTGTTGATCCCCAAGTACTCCAAGCATGAAGGCTGTGTCTCACCAAGAAAGGGGCCTGAAAGGGGCATGGTCTGGATGCACAAGCAGAGCCACATTTGATCAACGCAGATCCCATCAGTGGTCCCTGCCTCTCCCTCTATGCCTTCAAGGATCTTCCCATCACAAGCTTTCATTCTTCTGCAAGCGAGCGTTGAGAGCACTGGCGACGGTGTTGTTCATGTGCTCTTTTCGGTCGCTGGTGATGACAAAACACAGAAACGTCTCGTTGGATCTGTGGTGCTCTGCACTCCATCCCTGCTCCTGAAGAGTCACATGGTGGCCTGTCAGAGCAGAGACAATTTGCGAATGTGCTCCACTGACGTTCTCTTAGGAGTCAGAAGGCAAGGTCTTGATTCCTAAGCCCCAGCAGATGGTTGGGAAGGCCATAAGTACCCGTGGACTCCCTGGGACCAGGCTGCTTGCCAAGCAGGCAAGGTCTTCAAAGGTGTGTAAGGTCTTCACAGCCTTTGAGAACACTGTAGGTTTTGGAGGTACAGTGGATGCTTACAGAATGCCTTTCAAGTCTGTGGTTTAGATGGGTACAATTTCGGCAATAGATATCTTCAACTCATTTTTGGTCAACTCATTTTTTGGTAGCAATGATATTCTGTTCGACAGCTCATGACACCACTGACCAAACGTTGCCCTTGCACCTTGGAAGACAATGGCAGCGTTTTGCTTTTTCCCAGTGGCAGATGCAATCCGCGTGGCAATGCCAATGCAAACGGGGTCCTGGAATGCGATATAAATTGCTACAGCAAGGAGAGATTAGTTGACAGGGCAGAGAGACATGTTACCCTTGGGGGGACTCGCCCGTGTGACTGAACGACCACATATGTGTGACGAACACTTTTTTGTAACCCTGAGAGCCAATGCACTCGAGGAAGTCTGGAGAGCTCCAGTATCCATTGTGTGGAAATCGTCGGGTGCACAAACAGGAATATAGGACCGCCTGAGTGGTCATTAACCAGTGATGGGCCTTACAAGGATCAGAAATCTGGCGACGAGAACTTTGGTCCAGGGATGGTGTTCTTTAGAGTTTGTTTGCGTCCGCTGTAGGATGCTCTGAGGCTGCTAAGTCGTTTTATTTACAAGTGTGCAATGGTTGAATCCGCTTGGGTCTGATGTCCTTGCAGGTTGCCGCTGAGCACGGTCGATTTCGTTTACTCGTTCAGGGTGGAACCTCAAACTCTTTTCCTGGCCGTAATTTGAAGAGAACTTTTCCTGTACAGTATGTAAGTGGGTTGAGATATGATTGCATATCAGGGTGCACCGTACCATCCTCAAGGCGCAGGCGTGGGACCTTTGAGCGGCATTCAGCTCTGCCCATAAAATGCGTTGGCGCCATAGATTGGGGACACCCAAGATGTGTTACACCACGGGGGACCTTTTCCTCGCGATTTCTATCTAACTACTCATGAGACCGTGCAAGCGTGCACTTCCGTTCAAGTTATGGACATGGAAACTAACTCCTAGTTCTTATAGCGGCCAATTCCTGCCAAAGCAAAGACCTGGCAATAGTTTGGAGTTACCGGCCTGCCGGGCTGTGACTACAAAGCAAACAGGAGCATCGAACCTATGCTGGTCCTGTCGCTCCACAGAATCGGGCCAGCGGCCAGTCGGTCCATAATAAACCCATCAGAATGAAAGCGAGCTCTCACGGCCCCAAGAGGGAGGGTGCAAGACACGTTCTCTTCAATGGAGAAGTGAATGTTTGTGCAACGAAGAACCTAGTACCAATCTGAACTGGGAAAGGTTGTGAACATCAACTGTGCACTTGCCTATTTTTGTGACTGAAACACTGCCCTTTCTCGAGTGAAGTCGCAGAACAGAAAGCCTGCTGTGAACGCCGTGGCAACCAGCGCCCAAGTGCCCTGCATACATAAAGGGAATCATCAGAATCAGCATTTGGGCAAGCCAGGCATCTTGCTTTCAACGAGTTATGCATATCGAGTTCGAGAGCCATCACTGGTACTGGAGGAAACGGTATTTGTGAGGAAGGAAGAAGCATTGCTGCATTGGATGTGCACGCTCTATGTTCTTGAATTCGATAAGCATAACTCTGAAAGTGCCTTCTTCACAACCACCATTTCTACCAGTACGAGGCTGGCTCCCAGTGTTACAAGCTCAGCGGCAGCGAGGCAGTTGTGGCCAGCCTTCATGAACCATGTCGTCAAGGAAGGGGCATAGAGCGGTCAGCAGAGGATATGGGATTAACTATCTTGTTAAGGGGTTTCCGCCCACGGCGACGAGGGGCGGGCGCGCTGGCCCAGTCGGACCAGCGCTGCTTCAGTACACCGGTTTTGACGGTCCCTTGGGGTTTCTGTCCCCCTGTACCTTGGGTCAGTGGCCAGTTCGGCGCGTTCAAGGAGAGCCAGTGGTTTTTGGCGCCCTTGGGAGCGGCGGGCTTTGGCGGGCGCGAGCGGGGAGGCTACTTAGGCTCACCCCTCGGTCCCCACCTTATCTTGTTTCGCTTCGCGCCAACCCTTTGGCACAACCCGGACCCACCGAGCGGGTCTCGACCTCCGGCTCTTTGCCGAGTTCTTGCCTAAGGACCCGTCCCCTGCGGAGCAGTGGTGCCGGGAACAAGCTCGCCGGTTCAACAACCGTATTCCGAGCTCTGCTATCGAAGCCTGCTGGTTGCCCGACCCAGCGCTACTCCCCCAGTCCATCAACAACCCGGTCGCCTGACCGGTGGGCGCTAGAGGTGGCCACTCAAAGGTGCCATCCGGTCCGTTAAATCCGGTTCGTTAATTTTTATCAGCTGTCCGTTAAATTTCGTTAAAGAAAAAGGGAGAAAAATTCAGAAAAAACGAAAAAAATTCAAAAAAATCGAAAAAAAAACCCCAAAAAATCACAACAACTGCGGCTAGTTGAAAATCTAGTATGCATAGGTTGAAATAAAATACAAACATACTCTCTAATAACGAATTCCATAAACTATAAGTATGACTAAAACCCAAAAATCCCCAAAAAATCCAAAAATCCGCTAATTTTTGGTTAATTTTTGTCTTTTTTCGTTATTTTCCATTAATTAACGGAAAATTAACGGAAATTAACCTCTGTCCGCTATTAACGGATCCGGGTGGCCACCTCTAGTGGGCGCCCGTTCGCCGTACTGGTTCGACGTCCGCGACACCGCCGAGGGGAGCGCGGTCGCCACCTCTTTGGGCACCAACTCCGGGTACTTCCAGGAGTACGTGGGCTGGGCTCCTCCGGTCTCCTGGCTGTTCGACACGACCGCGGTCTTTGTGGAGGTGGCCGCCTATCCAGATCTACCGGCGTCCGTACGGGAATTCCTCCTCCCCTACCTTTACTCGTACATGGAGGTCACCGAGGCTCTCCACGACCAGCTCTCCTTGCAGCGCATCCACGCCAAGCACAAGGGCTCGGGTCTAGAGGGATCGTGACGGGCCATTCAGGCGGAGATCCACCTCGCCGACCGCGGACTGCGCTTCGGCACCGCTCGCGTCGACGGGACCATCGAGCGCATGCGCAAGGAGCTTCTGACGCAAGAATTGAAGCACGCCACCAAGACCGCGGCCGCCAAGAAGTCTACCTCCCCCCCGTCGACCTCGGCCCCCTCGACCGGCCCCAAGGCCCACAAGGGGTCTCGCCCTCCGGGCCCCTCCCCCAAGCCGGCTCCGTGAAGGACTTCCCGTACAATCGAGTCCGCGGACGCCTTTCGGCGTGGCGTCGCATCGGCGCCCCCTCCCGTATCCTCCAATGGATCCATTCAGGGACTCCGCTCATGTGGGGCCCGCATGGACCCCCGGCGCCTTTCGACGAGGGCTTCTACCCGCTCCGCTCCCCGGAGGAACGGACGGCCTGGCAATCTCTTCACGCGGACTACCTCTCTTCGGGCGCGATCACCAAGGTGGAGCCGGGCCCCATGTCGCGCATCTTTCGGGCCTTCCTGGTGGAGAAGGGGCGAGAGGATGGAGTCATGAAGTACCGTCTTTGCATCGATCTGCGATGGGTCAACCGTCACCTTCGCAAGGTGGGCCTTCGGTACGAGAAATTACGTGATTTGGGTCACTTACTCCGCCGGGGTGACTCATTGGTAGCATTCGATATAAAGGATGCTTATCATCACCTGCGAGTGTATCAGGCAGAGGAGTGTTTCCTCCAATTTCGCATGGGTGACGAAGTATTTGCTTGTCGTGCTCTTCCGTTCGGGCTCTCTCTAGCCCCTTTCTTTTTTTTCACCCAATTTATGCTTGTAGTGGGCCGTTTCTTGAGGTCCCCGGGCAGCTGCACAAAGGCAGCTCATCCTTTCCGTTTTGGGTGTTTAGCGGGGCATGATGCAATCGCTAGTTACTTTCGGATTTACACCAAGGAACCACTAGCCATTTTGCTGGCGTATCTCGATGATTTTTTGGCGGCTATGCATGATGCCGCCCGTTTGACCAAATGGTCCGGTTTTGTGCGGGGTGTTTTTGCATCTCTGGGCATTCAATTCAAGGAATGCAAATGTCAATGGACTCCCATCCGGCAAAAGAAGCATCTGGGGGTGATTGTGGACACCGCCCATTGCTGGTTCGAGGTCCCGCCGGAGAAGGCCGCATTGGTGGCCCATCAGGCCCGCCAGTTGCGCTCATGTCGCTGGGTTGTGGCCAGGGATTTGGCCCGTTTCTGTGGGCTTGCCATTTCCTTATATTTGGCTTTCCCGTTGGCTTGCTTTTTTTTGCAAAGCCTCTATGCTGTGCTGCGTTCCAAGCGCAGTTGGCGGGATCGGCTGATTCTCACTCCCCAAGCCCGCCTGGACTTGGACGCGTGGATCAACATCCATCGCTGTGAGGGGCGCCCGCTCAACCCCGACGCACTCCCCTTCGCTGACACGCTGGCCACGGATGCCAGCCTGACCGGTTGGGGGGCCACCTTTGCCCCCCCGGGTGTGTCCCTCCCCCTCCTTGCGATGGGGTTTTGGGACAGTTC